AAAAAACATATTTCTAGTTTAGATTATGCATGTTAATTACATCCAGGGGAATTGTCAGGACATCCTGGATGAACTGTAAAACAAACACTGAAGCTCCAAGAGGAAGCTGTACAAGGTTGAGGCCTCATTGTTCATAACGATGAGCGCTTTTCTGAAATAAGTTCTGSTCTTGAGCTTAAAATCTCCCAATAATGAAGGATTTATTGAGTTCAGTTGCAAGGCTGCTCAGGATTCACCTCTGTTTTCCTTCGACATTTCTTTTGACATATTTGGGAATAAATTGTTGTCATATATCTTGAAACAGGACCTAAATCTATACAATATRAACTCTCTACAGTAGTTTTCTCCACAGATATTTTACCACCTGCCCTCCAGCGGAGATCGCTCCGCCTTCGAAACCATGTGACTGAAACCCAGCTATTGCAACAGTTGAACGTGCAGCGGTGGTCCTCCGGGCTTTTAAACTCAGAAGAAAAGTGTTGATTGCTTGATTATTATCATAGCTGCAGCTTTTGTGGAAACAAATAAAAAGCTGCCCCGCTGCACTCTGTGCAACTCGCAGCAGCTCCAAACATGTCACAGTTCCCACTGTGTAATCTTGTTACATGTCCTGTAATCTGCGACCTGCCGGCCTCTGGAGGCCACATGGGCCGAGGCCGCTGTAGTGGCAGAGCGGTGCCAARAGGAAGCGGCTGCCAGGTCCCGATGTTCCGTGTTTTGATTAGCGTGCTCATTCAGGTGTCTGGGTGTAAGTAGCTGAACGCGGGATTAAGCGAGACGCGCTGACAGCCAGAGGAACACGGGAGTGTGTTTTGGCTCGTACCGTTCCCTCCTGCTGAGCTCATCACCTGAGAGCAAACGTCTCTGGTACTGTTTGTTTGCAGCAKTAACGATAAATGGTTGATTGAGAGTAAACAGGGACTAGAGGAGTACAATCATCCTTATAGTTTTTATACAACTCGTCCTGCCCCAAATATAAAAAAGCTACTTGATCCACAGAGAGAAACGTGATAGATGTTCAGTATTTTTAACTCTCTTTAATAACGATGTTACTGCATCACTTATTTGCTTTGTCTGAAGCAAAATTCTTTCTATGGTTAGGTTAGATTCAAGTAAACAAGGCTAAAAATAAGATTTATTTATTTATTTA